AAATTTCGAAAAAGTTCCCGTGACTAACCGTGACCAAGCTCCAGTCACGGTCACGGTCACGAACGTTCACAAAGTATTGGTCACGCCGGGCACTAGTTACGATAGGAAATAGACAAGTTCAGTCATTGGACTCGATCCTCGGATTCGTACTTCTAAGTTCCTACCATTCTACCAAGTTGTTCGATGAAAATCTGCCGAAATGTCGGATCCGATCATTGAATTCTTCCTGTCAAGTTTTTATCATTTTCCCCCAAGGGAACCTGCCTGAAAATTTACGGATGAGGTCGCCGTAATGGCTGACTTAGGTCAGTTGAAACTATTTTATGTTTAACATACACATATATATTTTTCTATGTAGTCACTCGAATATCTAATGACATCAGGTTCGTAATTGAGATGCATGTAAGATCATTTCTTTGAAAAGTTACTATATACCTATAGAGTTTCTCTCAGTATTAGAGAATTTTCATGTAAAAGTAAATCTCATCTTAGATTAATATTGACACATTTTTGAAAAACTTTTTATTAGGAAAATAAACGAAATGAAATAGAAGATTCACTAACTCCGAAAAATTTCTATCTTTGAAAACTGTATATTATATTGAGAACGATCGAGATTTCCAGTCATATTTTTTCCTTATCAGTCTAATTGAGCATTTCAGAATAATAGAAATCTTTCTGAATGATTGAAAAATTTTCATTTTTTTTTTCTAATTATTTACTTGAATAAAATTCCAAACAAGCCAAAATTGTAGAACACCGGTTGCAACAAGTGTAAATAGACGAACAGTTGGTGTATTAAAATTTGAAATAATAATTGATTCATTTAATGTACCATTATTTTCATTTAAATTTGCAATTGGTGTTGTTGTAAATGTTATTTTATTAATTGAAGAAGTTTTTAAACCAAACCAAAATGTTAACCATGCTAAAACAACAGATGCAAGACGTCCAATAACAAATATAATATTCCATGTTTTAAATAAATATATTGATACTAATTTAGCTGTTGTTGAACCTGTTTTAGTTGTAGCATAAAAATGAGCAAGACGTGATGAATGATAAAAAATTTCTATGAAATAATGTAATGTTAATAAAACAAGTGATATACGCCAAAAACGTGTTAAATATGCATAAAGTATTGTTATTAAATATAAACTTGTATAAACAATACGAGCTGGTATATCTTCTTTTCGAACTTTTTGTAAATATAATTCAGGAAAATTAT